TTTTAAGGCAATAAAACAAAATATAATTTTATTTATTGTCTAAATTCATAGTTATCCTTTTCGCTTAATATTGAAAACCAGGAAATTGATGAAGGTCAAGTAACACAAATAAAATATTTGTATTAAGTTGGAGATGTAGTGTCTATATGTTATTTTGTATAACACGAAGTGATTTAAACTTTAATTTAAGGGTTTTCAAGATGTTTTAATACAGACATTTAAATAGTTTTTTCATTAAACCAATGCTTAATACTTCTAATTAAAATTAACAGAGAAGGATAATTAATTTAATTTAATTTTGCTGAATTTCAGCAACTATATTTTAAAAAAATCTTTCTAAAAAATAACAGTGTTTATAACAGTTGAGCTATTTTATACGTTAACTGTACTAACTACCATAGTTTCTATATCAGATGAAATCGATTTTGTGGGTGTAAAATGTATTTTGTCGACAACCATAAATTTGACAATCACCTGGGGAATTTCTCATGAAAGTGAATCACTTATAATGTTTAAAAGGGACATTTTTCTAATTTAACCATTGCTGCTCTCTTTTATAGAGTAACATCTCAGGAAGAAACAAAAGAAAACTAAGTAAATAATAATAAATAAACATTACTGTCTTCGCCTGACATGTATCCACAAAGCAATATCACATTTTTCAAGGAAAAACAAATCTATAAAATTCACTGAAGTGTTTCAATAACCAACGATTTTTTATGATACAGTGTTGACCTTGCAGATTTAATATTATGTGTGTTTGAATTACAGATACACAACGTTCGCGGGTCCAAATGGAGTAGCTGAGAATTTTTCTAATCAATACCAAATAAAGTAAGTGAATTCTTTGAAACATTTTCTTTTTTAAACGCTTTTCCTATCGGTTAATTTTTCGAAATGGTACGTGATGAACCGTCAGATTATGTCTTAAACCGATGTGCTGTGCACTTTGAAATTCGTGAGTTGTCCTCTTAGATTGATGATTGCTACGAACAATATTCATTGAAATCGAAAATAAAAATCAACCGAACCGAAAATGAGTGACCAGCGGAAATAAGTGGTACGACGATCGTTTCCCTGGGCAATGGTATTATCACTTTCATGGTTGATAGGAGCCCCACATGCCGGTTATGGTAACCAATGCTAATAAAACGGAAAATGTCGACCGCCTGGTCGTCCGGAGTAACTGTGTATTTATTTACTAAATAAAATACGGACGAAAAGAACGAGTAATTGACATCAGGTTCAATGGAAAGCAAATTTATTCATTAGACGAGGGAAATGTTAATCTTAACTAATATTACTGTAAGGACCAAAGTAGATTTTGTAAGTGTATTAATAAAACTGTACGTAAATATATTGAATTTATTATCGCCATGTAATAGTAGAAGAAAATGAAAATAACATTAAATTAAGATTACTCTTAAAAGAAATATTCCAGACACAGTAAAACGTCAAAGTAAAAAAAAATTCTAATTCATCAAAAATAAAAATCTTTTCGATTAAAATTTGGTTGATTAAATTAAATATTTCAATTAACAATTTATCTTTAGTGTCTGTCTAGATGAAAAAAATTATAATGAAATTGATGTATGCTTTTATTAAGATTTTAATAGAATGTTGGCCATTTAAAAAATATTTTGTTTTATCTATCATTTTCATCACAACGCATTTTCATTTAACTTCCAACAATTGATTTGTTTTGTACTTACACTATTAGCTAATTCTTATTAAAATTTTATACACTTTGTTCATCAAAACTGCGATAGTTATGTCAAAGAAACAATAACTGAGTTATTCTGAGTTACAATAATATTTATAAAAAAAAAAAGTCCCGCAAAATTTACAAGTTTCATTTAAATCTTTTTTTTTTATGATGTTCCGTACATAAAAATATGTGTATTGTTTTTTGAGCTTCAGATGGATAAAATAAAACGTAAAAAGTCGTTCAACCGAAATTGATTAAAAAGAGAAATAAGTAAATAAACAAAACTGTTCTTCTCGAGAGCAAAGAATAGTCATTTTAGTAAAAATTTATGGGCTATTCATGTTTTGACATTACAATTGGAGTACAAAATACTTTTATGTTTCAAGTAATAACGATTGCCTCAATTGGAGAAAACATAAAAAACAGAAGGCGGAATGACTATATTAATATTCAATAATGTAAATAAATATCTACATAGAAGATGCCTTGTTGAAGTATTAATTTAATTTTCTGTATTAATTAGCTTATTGAGTAGTATACTTTTTTCTTTTAAATTTCATTCATTAAAAATGTGTGTTAATGCAAAACATGTACGTAATAACTATGAAAAGCAATTTGTTTTAGAATCGAATTCAAGAGCAGATATAAATCTTATTAATTTTTTTAATTAACTTGTTTAACTTGAATTTTTTAGATTTTGTACACTTTTGAAATAATTATTTCAGTGACTAATAAAAAAACACTACTTTCATATAAAGGGATCTTGCTTTATCTTAACATATTATTTAACTTGCAAAAATTCAGTTTATTGGTCATCTACCACATTTTATACTTATGTAGAATACATTTTCAAATACCTCTAGAAATACTTTTTGAATCAAATAAAATACAGGGTGGCCCACCACTCACTGACAACTTAAATAACTTAAAATAGTTATATCTCAATAATTATTTTTTTTTACATTTTATTAAAAATATTAATTATTTTAAAATTTTAAATAAAATGTAAAAAAAAAATCTAAGATAGCTATTTTGTAGAGTAGAATTTAAGAAAAAAATTTTTTAAAAATATCTTATTAATATTCAGTAGTAAATATTCTATAGCATTTTAAAGTTTGTGAAAATTTGAATTTTCATGTATTATTTTACGGTATTAAACATTGAAATACGTATTAAGAAAAGGACAGAAGAAAACACTATCTTTTCGTGATTACTATAATTTGGTGGTGTGTAATTTTTTCCATGAAAATGACATACTTTTGAATGAGAGTGATAAGCAATAATTGTCTTTTCAAATTTCTTATCATGGTATTAATGCCAAGGTTGTAAATTATAGTAATCACGAAAAGATAGTGTTTTCTTCTGTCCTTTTCTTAATACGTATTTCAATGTTTAATACCGTAAAATAATACATGAAAATTCAAATTTTCACAAACTTTAAAATGCTATAGAATATTTACTACTGAATATTAATAAGATATTTTTAAAAAATTTTTTTCTTAAATTCTACTCTACAAAATAGCTATCTTAGATTTTTTTTTTACATTTTATTTAAAATTTTAAAATAATTAATATTTTTAATAAAATGTAAAAAAAAATAATTATTGAGATATAACTATTTTAAGTTATTTAAGTTGTCAGTGAGTGGTGGGCCACCCTGTATTTTATTTGATTCAAAAAGTATTTCTAGAGGTATTTGAAAATGTATTCTACATAAGTATAAAATGTGGTAGATGACCAATAAACTGAATTTTTGCAAGTTAAATAATATGTTAAGATAAAGCAAGATCCCTTTATATGAAAGTAGTGTTTTTTTATTAGTCACTGAAATAATTATTTCAAAAGTGTACAAAATCTAAAAAATTCAAGTTAAACAAGTTAATTAAAAAAATTAATAAGATTTATATCTGCTCTTGAATTCGATTCTAAAACAAATTGCTTTTCATAGTTATTACGTACATGTTTTGCATTAACACACATTTTTAATGAATGAAATTTAAAAGAAAAAAGTATACTACTCAATAAGCTAATTAATACAGAAAATTAAATTAATACTTCAACAAGGCATCTTCTATGTAGATATTTATTTACATTATTGAATATTAATATAGTCATTCCGCCTTCTGTTTTTTATGTTTTCTCCAATTGAGGCAATCGTTATTACTTGAAACATAAAAGTATTTT